TCCTACTTATAACATGGATACATTCACGCGGCCTTTGTTTACCTCTACTTCATTCATCATACAAAGAACCACACATTAAAAGTAGACAGTACGTGTTTTTCACTACAGATATACATTCTAAACTGGAATAACCTCAATTTACTTCTAATTAAACATCTTAACATTTTGTAACGAAAAAAATGACAGAATTCAATCAATACATCTTAATCTTAAAATACGTAGGAAGTCCAAAGGTAACTAGGTATGATTAACCCTGAAACATGTGGGATACTATTTATAAAGAAGGTAGCAGGGGCATAATCTATGAGAATGTTTTTTTTAAGTAAACACAGAAATTCTAATTGTATGCAAAGATGCATGAAGTAAAAACAAATAGAATAACCTAAACAGTAAGTGGAGAGGAAGTTTCAATTAGCATTGACAATTACGTATTATTTCACATGGTAAAGTGCGTAACACGACTTCTAGTGCATAATGAAGTGTGGTTAAAGCAACTATTTGTATGCCTTGCCACTACCAAAAGAGACTGACAACTTGGACTACAAACCAGAAAATGGGAAGGAGAGTGAGGCCTGACTCAAGAAAGATAAGATCTTGCCATTGCTTCGACGATTGTGCACCACGATAGAGGACAAAACTTAGGAAAAAGTGGAATCAAAATTTCCCTCACCCTGAATAGTTAGACACACCTTCCTCACCTCTAAGAGATCTTAGAATTCACTAGACTTTTGATTGAAGCTAACTAGAAGGAAGTTACTTAAATTGTTTCATTAATGATGAAAAGAACACAAGAAATGAAACACTAAATGAAAAGTCATATAAAGGCGTCTACTTTACTAAATTGTGTTCCGCATGCCTATTACTTTGATTTCCAACCTTGTGAGAATGCTGTGCAAGTAAGTGAGAGGGTCATCTTAGGGAAGATGGCGTCAAGTAGGAATATATATTACAAAATGCAGCAATTCGGCAATCAAATGAATACAGAATGAGTATGAAGTAGCCAATATGCAAATTACTCAGTAACCTCGATGCTCAGACCTTTAAACTATTATCTTCCTCATGACAGAAAACGCACATCACCTGGATGAGGGAAAGGACATAATGGAAATTAACCTCACCGACCCTTCTCATACAGTCCTATATATGAAAGAGACCCGATCTCCCTCATTAGTGTGAAGATAATCATAATAACAAAACACAGCAAATAAGATTTAATATTTCAGTCAATCAGGCGGTACTTCGATAAGGGGAAAAGTGATTACCAGCAAAATATAACTAAATCTGATCCTATTCATTTCCTTTAAACAAACTCAAGAATAGAAAATAATCCTTTTGTCATTCTTCTTAGCTATGTATTAGTATAAAATTCAAATAACAAATAAAAACACGAAAGGATAAGCAACAACGACCTCCCATAATTTTGATAGATTTAGAGCACTCACTTTGGAAGTTAAACGAGTCCGGGAGATTTTGGTCATCACTCACAGGTGCGGCCATATTTGCGGTCGGTGCATGCTGTTCTGCTACTCCATTGGTGGGTTGCTGGCCTATCTGTTCTTGAGACTGCGTTTGAGGTTGAACTTGCTGTTGCGATTGCTGTGGGAGTGAAGGATCATAATGCTGTTGTGGCTGCTGCTGTTGCTGTTGAGCGGCATAATAGTCAGCCGGGGCATAGCCCATAGGAGTCATATGTGGTGTGCCATAAGGCATCATTGTAGGTGGAACCATACCCGGATACATTAGATGACCGTAGCCGGCATATTGCGAATACAGTTGTTGGGAGGCCATTGATTCCTCCATTAACTGGCGATTCTGAGCCTCGATTGCAGCCTATAATGCACACAAAATGGTCATCATCTCAAACAAACTTACTACACATATGGTTACCTAAGCCTACCCTCTTTTTCTGCCGCAAGTGTTCAACCTTTTGCATCATTTGAATTTGACGCTGCCGGTGAGCTTCTTCTTCTTCACGTCTTCGTTGTTCAGCGTAATCGTTTCGAAGGGAATCCAGAGCTTCACGAGCCTCTTTTATCTGAGCGGTCTGATCCTGCACCTTTTCCAAACACGCTAAAGAAGAAACAGAAGGATATATTGTTCAATGCTTCCCTACCTAATTACCTCCCGAAACAAATGAAAGTGGGCAAGATGGCTGTCCATCGACCCTAAAATCGATACCTATCAGTGCGCATGCCATAAAAAGAGGTGTCAGGAAGGCTCCCCCATGTTAACCCTATATTAAAGTTTTCTGTTAAAAATGCATCACCAAACAAACTTTGCAATTACAACGAGAGCAAGTAATTGAGAAACGATGCAGTTGATTGTTTCCAATAGACAGGAAAGGCTTCAACAATAAGGCGAATTCCAAAAGCGAACAAAATTAGAGGGAAGCAAAAAAAGTGTTTTAGCATAAATTCAAGAAACAGGGTAATAATGGGACAGGCAATGAGATGGCCTGACTCCTAAGCCCAAATGAAGTTAACAGAGGTCACGTGTTCCTCATTTACATAAAAATTTCTCGTTTAAAAACGGTCGCATGACGCATATCTGAAGTAAAGGTCACATTTGCGATTTTCGACACTTGTCTCCTGCCATGGAGATATCAAAGGAGAACCATAAACCATAGAGGAGTAAACAGGGGTAGCCCCTAGTCCTTTATATCTCAGCAGCGACCTGATGCTTAATAGTATTGGTGTAATTTCATAAAATTGAGTCAAATAAAAAGGGACTCTAAAGAACCCGCACATCTAGGAAGCATGAGAAAGCTAGCATCTGTAACTTCCACATAGACGTACTTATACAGTTAAGCTTAAACTGAAAGGAAAATTATTTCATTCAAAAGACATGAAGGACACTCCTTAGGTTAAGCACAAATAGCTGATTTGATGACCAAGATCCCGAAATTCCAAAACTGCACTCCTTTCTTCAATGAACAAAGCAAATACGATTACCCTTTATAAGCGATGCGTGTGGAAAAATGACCGAAAAAACAGGAATCGATGCCCGCAAGATCACTAAAAACGGCACTAACGATTAAAGGTCCTAAATCGGATGATATCAAAGTAAATAGCAATAAAGAAATCAAATGATCACTTAGAGATTTTGTTTATGAAGCAAGAATCGAGGTCACAAATTTAGGAATTAAGACTAATAATCATTGATGTACTGAATGGCGAAAAACAGGAAATGGGAGTCCAAAAAGTAAAATACAAAGAGTTATGTAAGTCGAAGTGTATTGAATAAATCACGATGAAGACCAATGAGCATAAAAGAGATGAGGGATGAGATGTACGCGCAACCAAAGGGCAAACATAGCTCCGCACAAATAATTGTGGAAGTACAAAAATAGTTTGTGTGTCACTTTGACAAGGACGAATGTGAAAATATGGAACCAGGTGTACTTCTAAATGAAGTTGACAGTTGCAGAAAGGAGAATCGATATGCCGGTTTGGGCTTTAGAGACAGTGGCTTGAATCATAGGGGCGCGTAAGAGCGAAAAACCAACCAATTTCCATAAAAAGTGCAACTAAAGGGAAATTTTCAAAAGCTCATAATCCTCCTTCAATCGGCTCAAGGGATAATAGCCATTTATTTTCCATGATGAGTTAGGTATAAAATGCACGAATTACCTCTAACCTCTCAATGTATAAAACTATTTCATTTTTAATCACCTGCTGACAATTCCAAGTGGACCACTCACTATTTTTCAGTACAATATTTTCCCCACAAACTCACTTCTTCTTGTCTCCAGATCGGCAGAGTACTGCATCAGCTGCATATTCATCTGATGAAGAGTTCTGAATAGAGTTTGAAGAGTGTTGTCGGCGGAAACTGGCCGACCACGCTGATTGCAGACCTTCATGCGATTATTGAAGACATCAAGGCTTTTCTTCAAAGCACTCAGGAATTCCTCAGTCTTGGGAGAAGTCAGTGCTGGAACACCAGGAAGAACACTGCCTTCAGGAGGAACCTCAACAGACGCCATCTCCTGAGCTCTCTCACTCTAGAATTAACAAAAACAGAAAAAAAGGATAACATCCGTCGAAAGTTTCATAGGGCAGATAATTAGAGTTTGAAAGTTCGAGGTAAAAAAAGATTATATCTTATAGGACTAATAGAGACTTGATAAATACGCAATTTTCAATTCAGTAGTATATTATACACTTGGGGAACTATAAGGCACTTTAGAAAGTGGTGTGCAGGGCATTATAATGAGATGTCAGATATTCATTAGGCACGAACATCAAATTAGACGATGAATTGAAGTTAAGACTAATTTAAATCTAGCAACACATACATCTGTCGGCTTAAGTAAATTTTGTTAAAAGGAGAAAAATATTAAGAAGGAGCAATTAAATGCCAGTGTTACCAGTCTTACCGAAAGACTAAGATCAACAGTTTACACTGTGATAGCATTCCGAAGTGTCATGGTACCATAAACTACTCAAGCAAATTTCAGTAGAAAATGTAAGCATGGAGTTAAAGCGATCGGACTTACTGAGGTATCAACAACACTGGGGACGTAATCTGGATTGACTGGAGGTGGGAAAGTGGGTGCGGTTGGCGTAAATCCGGAGATATAGGAGTCAGTGCTCTCGGCATTGGCTGCAGCACGACCTGCCCAGTAATTGCGATTCAAGTAGAGAGCCAATTCCGGATCAACTTCAGTAACCATGTCGCTATTTACCTCCGAAGGTGGCGCAGGTGTAAATAAGGATGTAGATGGAGGTAGCTTTGGCTGAGATGAAGGTTGGGTCAATGTTACAGCCTGGATATGCAAATTATAACAAAATTAGGCTGTGTTGGGGTAGAATATAGGTGAAGATTAAGTAAAATCATCGTTCATAAGTCACCAGTCTAGCTTATGAAATAAATACAGTCTCTAAAACAATAAACTACAAAACCCAAGAGTGCCAATTCTTCAGTTTATGCAACAGAATAATCTAAATGACAATTAAAGAGCCAACCACCCCAGTAGGAATTTGACACCAATAGGCCGAAGCTGGATTAAATATTTAGTCTATTGTGAGTGTTATAAAATTATAGTGCTTTGATAAATACAACTAGATCAATGAAACCCACGCAGAAATTCGAAAAAAAGCTTAAAGAGAAAGACTAGTGGCTCTATTAAAAGGTTGTCTATATGAAAGGTGCGGGTAACAAAGAAAGGACTTATATTTTTTACGGTTTATTGAAACTTAAGATGAAAAAACTGTTTGTCATCTGAAAATTGTGAAAAACACAATAGCATATACAAACTCCTTCCAAAACTCCCCATTTGAAATCTATATTTCCATTAGGGGGTGTGCGATAGACTTACCTCCACGTGGTGTACCTTGGGCAACGTATACTCATACGACAAAAAGGTCAATAAACCGGCAGTTGACTTCTGACTTCAAACTATCATGGCCCCACTGTATGTCATATTCGACTACTTCACAGTACTCACCTTACCTTTATCTCTACCCTTTTGACTGCCTCTTTTACATATTTGAAACACTCTTATGTCCCCCCTCCCCCCTCTCTCGATTTTTTCACTTTGATGTTCCTTCCCCTCTGTGAAGCCTGAAGTCAACTAAAGGGCTAATGATAACTATCAAGATGCCTACCACTTGGTATAAATAAATATTTTCATTAGTCCATAGTGCATAGCAAAATATATGTACAAACATAGACTTCCTAATTGTTTTACTATTTCGACCATCAGAGAAAGTTGAGTTATCAACTGGGAGATAGGGATAAATTTTGTTAAATCATAGTTGGCTTCTTCTTTCAGACGTAGATTTGACCCGGACAAAAATTAAAACGGAAATAATATCAAAAAGTAGTGCCTTTTACAAAACAAACCAGAAATGACCTAACCTTACCTACTCATACCTCAAAATAACATTAACCTGTCATATAAACATCATACTGAGGTAGAA